CCGGCTCGTACCCGACGTGGGCCCTGCCAGGCTCCCCAGCTCGCTCTCAAATTATAGCAAGGAGTAAGTCGTCATTTTTCTTTCTTAAACCGGAGTTAACTATTAACCGTGACTTGTCTCAAATCAATCTCGTCCCCAGTGTGTCACGGATTAAACTTTAATGTACCACCGCGGCCCCGCGACTCGCGATCAACCCGGCGTCGCCGAAGGCAAGAAGCACGGAGGCTTCTTGACCAGGCCTACCAGGAGTGGCTGAACTCCTTGGAGGAATCAAACGTGAGACCGAACAACCAGGAGCCTGCTGACCCTCAGTCACCAGCCGCTCCTTCAGCTAACTCTCCTCCCCACGAATGCATATATATACATGTACCACTCCCCCTTCCCCTATTTGGTTCCCCTGCTTTTCTTTTATAACTTCTTCCCCCCCCTTTACCGCTACGCTGGAGGAGCTCATCGAAGAGTAAAATGTAACAGTAACAATAACATTGTATACATGTGTATAAATAAGTAACATCTGGTTAAGAAAATGTTTAATAATATCTTATACTCGCTTTCATGTTCGCGCCCCGTTTTCTTATTTTAATATACATAACCATATATAAATATATATATATATATATATATATATATTATTATTAATGAATTCTGAATTATTACTATGTCACCTTTAACATCGAAATTCCAAACATTACACACGCTTCTTTTGAGATTAAATAAGACGAGTGTTATCCGCTGATAATTATTAGTATCGAAAATTACCTGTAATCCACAGCGCTAGATCTTCCGATTCCGTAATAATAGAAATGTTAAATGTAATAACTCTCTTTTTCATTTACTATAAATTCATTTACTATAAACATTATAAACGTAGTTAGAAATAAATTTAATTGTATCAATTAATTCTTAAACTCTCTATCGTGATTAAACCACCTCATCCTCCTCTTCCCTCTTACCTCGCAGAAAATCGCACTGGTCCGATCCCGGGTCAAAGGGATTTATAGTTTCTTGACCCAAAAACAGGACCAACGATCGCGCTGGTTCGAGATCAAGTAACATCGTCCCCTCAGGACGTTGACTCGTTTCTCAACCCCGGTTAAAGCGCCTTCGACTCGCACATATAGTGCAGTAAAATAAGACAAAAATCGGGCTTAACTTCGGAATTCCGTGTAACAGGTCGTATCGTCTTCAAACTTTTTTAAAATTGTTATAAATGCTGTACGTATGAAAGTCTACCCATTAAAAAAATGCCGCTGCTTTCTTATTGTTGCAATTATAAACAATTATTGCAAAATTAAATGATAAATTAAATGATAAATACATGGATCGAGTAAGTGAAGTATTTTTCTTCAATAAGCACTTTGTTTTTTTGCTTTTGCTTTTACCAATCAAAAGTTATAGCCATTTTTGTACGGAGCCCACTTCACATTTTTGGCTCATACGCACGTACTACGCAGCCATATATTAGACCTTAATTAATAAATTCACATCTCCAAGGGATTTGATCGTACAAAAAATTTTCTTACACATTATTTGCGTAAAATTTCCTCCTCTTTCGATTGGCGCAAGCAGTTTTTTCGGTAAAATTAAATTTTAAAAGTTATTCGCAAAAAACCGTAATTTTGCACCTATTTTGTTTAATAACTATTACAGCGACACTTTTTAGGAAGTCGACTTTTTACCATATATTATTGATACAATTTAGAAGAGATTGGCAAAAATCGACCCTGTTACAAAGAATTCCGAAGTTGATTTCTTATTTTACTGGACTAATATGCCACCGCGCCTATTTGCGAGACAGGCTATCTGCTTACGTCCTTCCGTATCCCCCCCTTTCTCGAACCCAGCCTCGTTTCTAAACGGGACTCTTTTTGATTTTTCCTTTCTTTAAAGATAAATCATTTCCCGGGGATTGAACGTAACAAAACTATAAAAATTGTATATTGCTGAAATAAGTTTATTGGACTGTTATCAGTTGTTATATTATTTTTAGCTAAAGGTTGCTAGAAATTGTTTAATGCGTTTGCTGTGCACTCCGCGATAGTGAGTTGTATAGTTTCTGTGATATATTTGGCATAAGGTAAACAATAAATAATTCCTGTTTTTTATTGCTGCAAATATATGCTGCTTATGTATGTTATTAAACGATCTTTTCTGGTCACTTTAATAAAGTATCTATGCAAATACACTACCCCCGAAAAGTTTCCGGACAGAAATAAAATTTTTATGTTTAAAGAAGATACCCTGTAACGATTTTAAGTTTAATTGTATAAAGTATCTATGCAAATATATATTCATAATTATCTGGGATATAATTTTTGATATGTTTCAGAAACCAACAAATGCAACAATTGGTCACAGAAAAGGTCTTAGCACCTCAGACATTAAAAAAATTAAGGCAATGTACAACTGCTAATTTATGAGTATAATTATTGTTATTTATCATTTATCATTTATGTCAAAAATCAGTACCGATGAGAAAAATGGCTTTGATAATCCCCTACAAAAAAGGCGCACCGGCTT